GGCAGCGGCGGAGCCTGCGTGGAGTGACCGGTTTCCCTCGATTTTATTTTGGTGATAAATTCAGTAATACGTTTTAGTGAACCCGGAAGCGTCGGACGGCTGAGCGATCCCAGCTGTGCCCAGCGGTGGGTTTTTTTTTTTTTATGGTCATAAAATCAAGATACTGCTAAGTGTGCTGACACCGATGATTTATGTTAAATTATTATTGTAAAGTGCTCGTTAATAAGGGCTAAATGATAGGAATGTTTTAAGATTCTGAGGAATTCAGGACAAGGCTTCTTCAGAAGACGCTCCTTGCCAGAGCAGATTTTGGCCTGCAATATCTTTTGTATTCTTCTGTCCAGCTCTTCTCTGAAATGACCATCTAAGGGACTAGAAATATTTTCTTGGCAAGGTGATTCCATCCTTTATTCCCTCTTTTCACTAGTTCGCGTTCCCAAAGGTTGCATGTGAACACGGTCAGTGATTTACTCTCCAATGTACCGATGGATCAGTATCCACAGCTTTGGTCTTGCCAGTGAATTTTGCTTTGCATAGCAGCTGCTTTTCCATTAGTCACCATTTTGACAAACTATGTAACTTCATACACTTTCTTCTAAATTGGTACCGGTTTCTATTTGTCACATCTACAATGACAGAAGTTATCTGTTGCTTTTGTAGTGGAATCCGTTTCTAGCAAAAATCTCAAGCTGTAACCATTAAAACGCTGTTAAGTTGTGTAATGTATCTCCTGATACACCGCATTTTCGATAACAACAGAGATGGCTTGTTTCTTTTAGGCTCGGATACGTTACCTACAGAGTTTCTTTCCATTGCTAGTGTCCCTATATGATGTTACTTTTGTAAGCTACCTGAACAGGACAGTAACGCAGCTAGTAGGTAATGAGAGGTGGGATCTGGATCCCAGCTTTGGTACGGCTGCACCGAAGACACGGCTCCGAGCAAGGTGTGGGCGCTGCCCGCAAGCCCGGGGTATGGCTGCGTTGGCAGGCGCCAGGGAGGTCCCTGGCAGCACGCTGCTCAGGGGATGGACCAGGAGGTAGACAGACTCCAGAATTCCCAAGAGCTCAATCTACATTCTCATTTTCACAGCAGCGTATGACTAGAGGTGAATAAATTATGTCTGTAAATAACTGAATTCACATCTCTTTGGCCTGTAAGTAAGGCTACACTTAGAAGAGTCCCGTCCTCGGATGCTGTTACAGATTTAATCTAACAAGAGTTGAACTTCAGGCTTCTGATTTAAAAAAAACCCAAAGAGGTGAGGTAGAAGAGGCACAAATACAGCCAGCAGCAATTAGCAAAATAATGGGATGTCACAAAATCTGTGTTTGGTGCCTCTTAGTGTCAAGTCTTTTCCAGAGGTACGTGCTTTCAGAAGGCGTTTTGGCTGCACAAGGAGAGGACTGGGGGATTACAATCTGTTAATTTTTTTCAGACTGGTTACTTGTCAGAATTGGTTGAGGGTTCCCAAGAAGCTTTTCAGACAGCTGGTCTGGGTGGGACTGTGGTTTGTTGAGGTCCTGAAGGAACTGCAGGAAACTGGGTTTGTCCTGGCTGCCTGAAGCATGGAAGACACATTTTGTGAAGTATTTAATGACTTGAGACAACTGGTATTTCTAAACTGTGGTTCTTTACCACTTTTAAACAGTTGCTAGCATTTGTATTTATATTTAACTCTCTCTGCCTATCCCTCTCCCTTGTAGCATTTACATGTCCCATTATGCTGTTTTCTGTATAAGCAGAAAAACAGCATTTCTTCTTCAAGCATTTAATCTATCTTATCTCATATGATGCTGCATGAAAAATCCTCCTAAGCAAGACATGAGACATTAGGAACTTCACTTACAGTGATACAGCAACGTAAACATAGCAAGCATGAAGTAAAGAAGGTTTTAAATACTACAAACCTTGGACCAGGGAAATGTGATATGGTAAAACAATCAGGACTTGATGTGGCAGGCTGGAAAAGGTGTTGCAGAAAATCAAGTTAACAAAAAACACAGATTTCAAAGTGTGGCTAATTATTCAGAATTAACCTAGTGGTATTTCAGAACTAATTTTCGTTTCCTGTGACATCCTTCATATTCTTTTGCAACATTTGGTTTTGATAATTTTTATTTTATTTTATCAGAACTAGCTCCACAGCCTGGCTAAGCATCTTCTATGGTATTTTGCCGTGGAATTCAGAGTTCAATCTTTGGCTGCTCTGCTAAGTAGCCGCTTGTTCCATCCCATACTACTCACAGCCTGTGTTGACAGGGCAGGCAATAAAGCTCATACTTGCCCAAAGAGAAATCCTGTCTAACACGTTATAAATTATTTTAAATACTTGGAAATTCAGATAGTTTCAATGTGTCAAAAAGCCACAAAAGTCATCAGTAACTATATTAGAGAAAAGGCACTGTATAATTTGGATTACTCAACATGAAATAATGCGAGTATGCATCTATCTTACCTGATTATTTCTTGTGTTATGACTTGGTCTGTTATTTTGCTTTGGTTGCTGCACATCATTATCCCTGAAATAAAAACCATGTAATCAGGCAAACCAGCGTTTGGTTTAACTGCCTTCAGGGATGCGGTGTTTTTCAAGGGACGAGGCTACAGCTCCGAGATCTGGATTCTGTTTCTGACTCCACCCCATTCTGGCCCTGGCAAATAACTTCAATATGCTGTGCCCCTGTGCCCACGCAATACAATTATCAGTAACAATTAGGAAAATGCAATGTATTTGGGGAAAAAATGCTTGAGAACTGACAACTGGAGTATCTGGATTAAACTACCTAATAGCAGCATACTGGCTATTAAACTACCTACTACTACTAATAGCAGGGAAGTCTTGTCTTTTAGGAGGTATGGGATTCTTTCTATAGATAAAGCGTCTAACTGGCTTGCTACATTAATCTGGAGCATGCTCTCAAGTGCTGAAATACGCATTTGTAGTAAGTGAAATACCTGTGTTGTCTTCTACTTTTGCTGCAAAACTTCCTTTTTATTGCATCACGCTTAATTACTGCTAATACAGTAATGATTACTATTGGCAACACAAGGAAGAAAAAAAGAAGCAGACCATCCCGAAGTGACGTATCTAGAGAAAAAGAATTGAAATCACGTAAGATAGGAATCTCGTTTAACCTCATATTAAAGCATTTTTTCTGCTGAAGACACCTTTCTGTTGTAAAAACTACAATCTTCAAATTAGTATAGATTAAAACTAGTAATTTATAAATTTATAAACCACTGAAATTTTTAAAATGCTGTGATCAGAGAAGTAGGATTTGGCCTTATGTTATCACAAGTTCTTTCAGCCTTACCCACCCCATGTTGTATGATACACAAAACTTTCTCCTTTTCCATATATTTTTCCAAGAATTCTAGAGCAGACTAATTCATTTTGTATGTGCTTACCCACAGCTGATCTGCATGTCTTTGTCTTCCTAAGCTGTTAGTAAATACAAAACATTTGTGTGGTCTCTCAGCGTGAAGGCCAGCAAAATCTACTCCATTTTCCCCTTGCAGAATTTCATGGCTCTCACCTGAGCCAGCTGCAGCTTGCTGCATGCACCTCCTTAACCCCTCTCCTTTCTGTGAGACCTTTTCCATGTATAAAGGCTGCTGGTTTCATTCTCAAGCTATAGTCTTCCTCTATGACATCCATTTTATCAGAACTCTATTTTAAATACCTGAGTAAATACCTAAATATCTATTTAAAAATGTAACAGTAATTTATGTATTGCTTTTAGTTTCAGTAATTGAATGTATTGCTTTTTATCTCAGACAAAATAGAGGTCAAATTCTCCCTTGGATGAACTTCCTTGATGTCTGCAAACCTACACATCAGATAGTAATGTTTGTTCTTTAAGTCAGTCCACAATTAAGTGTCCCATGCAGTAGAAAAAAAACAGTTGAAAAGCGACTGAAAACCCCCCTGTTATTAGATTGTTTTATCAGGCACTGGGGGCAGAATGAAGGCCAGTTTCAGCATCGTACCTATGTGAGCTGGACCACTGTCAACACTGCCGCCGTAGCCTCCCCGGTTACAGAACGGAGGCGCCCACCCAGAATTGCAGTGGCAGTTCCCGTTGTTGTTGCACACCTACAGTCAATACAACAGGGATCAGTCAAACGACCAACACGGCCGCTTTCGACCTCCAGGATATATTTGGAGTTACACATTAAGAATTGCACGTGGAAACAAGAAATATTGCTTAGTGTTGCTTGGGAATAAGCTCTCCCCCTCCGTAACATCCCAAAACACTGAGTGATACTGATACCAGAAGTTAATCCTCTGTAGAAGTTAACCTTTGTTTTGTTATTTGCCTGCAATAGATTACAGTCCAAAGAACTCAGTTTTACAACCTTTGGACTCCATTTTGATTTTTCACGGAGACATACATAAATCAGGAATCACTAGGCTGTCCTCCTCAAAGGAATATTTTCTTTTTACAATTCAACAGCTCAGTAATATTAGAAAATTCCCTAGGGAACCTGAGAAGAAATGTCTTTCAATGGTAGCACTAAGAGGTTTACAGTATACTGGCAACATGAATTACAGATAAAAAAAGTGGACTTAACTTTTAATACAGATCAGAAAAAACCAAAGCCATCTGGCTGGTTATTGCTTGTATGCAGGGATTTTGCACCTACCTCTGTCTTCTGGAAACAGCATGAAAACACCATCTACTCACCCCATTGTCGTTACACTGCTGCTTTACATCACAGCTGTAGCCCAGATGACTTGCATTCACACATTCAAAACCTACACAGGCCTGGAAAAAGTAATTAGTGTCTTTCAAACACAAAACAAGAAAAATCCCATCCTTTTATAAATAAACTACATAAATGTATACGTTTACAAGTCTACAGCTTTTACTTAAATGTCCAGACAAAGGGCTGATAGAACATTCAGTACTTCACAATTTTATAGCTGTATTTGTCTCAGCTTTTCTTAAGTCTGTGGATGCATTTTCATGGAGTAATGTGAATAACTGATGATGTAGTTCACTGATTTGTAGCATCCCAGTTTTTGAAGAGCCAATTAATTGTTTGTATGTGTATATCTCAAAAAGCAGATTTTTTTATTATGTTGTGGCATACAAATGTATGTAAGCTATCTAAAGCTTTTGAAAGTTAAGAACTTTCCAGTTGGTGGAATATATTCTGTAATGCTGCTGTGATTCATCTTACCTTCTTTTCTCCACAGGCTGTTCCATCATGAACTTGAGCAGGATCAGGGACATCTGATCCTAAGTCAAAGTCAGAAGACCAGCATAAAGCCCCAGATGCGTTAGTAACAACACTCCAAGCAGGAAGATTTTGAAGGCTAACAGATGTGCACTGGAGCTTGCCGCACAGACTATGCCTGTATTGAATGAATGACACTCAGAGACAAGGTGAACAGAAAAAAACCAGCATCAGTACAAATACACCATCCAGTCAAACTTTTTAGCTTGCATTTCAAGGAAATATTCTTTTGAATCTCATGCTCTAAGAGTTTGTAACAGAATATATTTTTTACATCGCAGATTTTAGGGTTAGCTTTTATTTGCTGGTGACTTACTGAATAGGACATTTCTTGTATGCTCCACCGCTCATTCCACAGTTCCCAAACCTATCTCCTTTGATATTTGCTTTTTCAAAGCATACATCAGGTGCTTTTCGTGCCCCTGTACAAAAAATAGTGAATCTTAGTAAGCCACTACACTGTCTTAAAAATATGAGAAAGAAAAAGAAAAATCGGAAATGTCTATTAGGAGACTACAAGTCTTTTTGCATTAAAACGTACCTTTTCCATATATAGATTCACATTGTGAATCAAAACTCTGGCATACTCCATAGTAGCAGTATGCCTTCATGTTGTTGCACGGGTAGCCATTCATGATATAAACGTCGTCTGGACAGTAGGCATTGCTTCCATTGCAGTATTCAGGTAGATCACAGAAATCCATTTTTGATCTGCACTCTGTTCCTGCCACTTTAAACTAGAACCAGAGAGGAGTGCCACCCTACTATTATTTCGCGACAGCAGAAGTTATAACATGAAACAATGACAGCTGGGAACCTTCTGTGATTTTAAGGACGACAAAACAGTTTTTCATATCAGTATCTAACGAATATCCAAAACTTCCTGCAGTTTCATATGGTGTAGCTATAAAGTTTATGAGCTGAGCCTGCAGAGGACTTGGGTAGATTGTACAAATGCATACACAAGTACAAATTAAAAAGCAGCCAACTACCATAGACTTTGGAGAAGCTTGGTGTTGCATCACGGAGATCACTACTACTGAGTCCCCTGAGTGCTCCTGCCTGCTGCAAGGGATGACACAGATATGACATTCCATTTCTAAGCTACTGGCCAAGAGTTGTTAGACACAAATTCTCTGCTTACATGCTCTCTACTGGTGAATGTAGTTTGATAATGTGAAAATATGTCAAGAGTACAATGATAGCTCTTTTCCAACATTAAAAAATACTAGTAAATAGAATCATGGAATCATAGAATCATAGAATGCTTTGGGTTGGAAGGGCCCTTCAGAGCCCCCCCAGCCCAGCCCCTGCAGTGCCAGGGACAGCTTTAACCAGCCCAGGGTGCTCAGAGCCCCGTCCAACCTGGCCTAGGATGTTTCTGGGGATGGGGCCTCCACTACCTCTCTGGGTAAATAGTTTCAGTTTAGCTTAATGAAACAGCCTACCTTGCAATTTTTGCAGCACAGTCCTTCAGCGCACTGCGATCCAGGTGTGAGTTTGCAGGTTGCAGCGTCACAGCAAGGGTTAGTACATTCCTGAAGAACAACCATAGACACAATGTTTTTACCTCGCTATATAGCTAGGAAAGTACATCATCAAACCAAGTGCATGGGCAAACCAAACTTTAAATATGCCATCTCTTGCACGTTCTGAGGTTGACAGCCTTCTGCTCTAACAGAAACCGGCATACAGTTTGGCTGTATTTTTTTACCAGAAGTCATCAGAAAGACATCTGTTTTGATGTGTTGTGGCACAGCGGTATAGGATAGGTTTACACTTTAAATGGACACTAAAAGAAGCAGAACACTTTGGTTTTTAAGTAACACTTCTTATCACCGCTCCCCTCATCTTATTTTTCCACTACACTAGCAGTTTGATGTAGAGAAATGTTGGTATCTTTTCATGACTTCGAAGGCAGCCTATACAATGGAACCTGGCTTTGCTGCAGCTTTTCAATTTATTGCTGTCTTTTTTGAGACACCTTTATTGTCTAAAGAATGAGTCAATATATCCCATTATTTGAGGGACATTTTGACAATGCAAATATGACCAACAAAAGCAATTTTATTGTGGGTGAAGTTTAAGGGTTACAGTTAGGAAACCTGTAAGTGCCCTACTGTTTTATGGAGGAGTCTCTTTTATGTAACAGGAATACCCATGTTGCTAAAACCAGCACAAAACCCAGTGGTGTTTCCACGTATTCTGCACTGAAATGTTCTTCTTTCTTAGGCATTGGCTCAAAATTCTGTGAAGTCCAGCAGCCCTTTACTGAGTTCATATCAAATTCAAAGTCTGATTTTAGGCTTTTCCTAAAATTTATCTTCATATTGCTTGCAAAAATGTAAATTTGCAAGGAAAGCTCCTCAGATATTAATGTAAATCAGGTATACCAAAAGGCCAGTGTTACACAACAAATTATAATATAACATAACATAACATAACATAAT